AAGAGAAAGAGCGTAAAGACAATAGGATCCTGCGATATCACCATTGGAACAATTTAAAAAATTTCAAACCTGTTTGCCTTCTGATGTGGAAAATTAAAAATACCTATGACCCAAAATTGAAAAATACTCGAAAACTTGAAGAGAGCACTCAAATTTTGCGATTGCTTTCTTCTCTCTAGTGAAAATGACTGCTACTCTTTGCTTCTGGTGTAATGGTGTAAAACGAAAAACTTCGTTTACACTGTCAAAGACTTGAAGAGACCACTCAGATTTGCGATTGCTTTCTTTTCTCTAGTGACCGTGACTGCGAGTCTATGCTTTTGGTATTGTGGTGCGAAACCCAGTGGTGTGAGGCTGTGAGCCTAAGGAGCATACCTATTGTGCTCTGTTACCTGGGTGATGTTCCATTTTGATTTTTTGTTATCCTCGAATGACGTTCCTTGTACAGTGAAATGAAACCCATGTGTCTATTTCTAAATGTTTGATTTTTTTTATATTGTTTTATTGTTATCATTTTATGACCCTTTTATTTAATATATAATTACACATACCTTGTTAGTCTGTTACTATTTCCCAATTCACTGTACGATTAAATATGAAATCCATATATTTATTCTTATTTTCTCGCTTTTGTGTTTTGGCATTTGCATTATTTTATATATTATGTTATTATTATTTTATTATGACCCTTTTATTTTATTACTAAGGAGAAAATTCAATCTAATTTTAATCTTTAATGATTGAAGTTGTGGTGTTTAAATATTATTTTGTATTTATAAATATATTTTTTATAATTATATAAAAAATAAGATCTTATGATTCGTCTCGATTCAACGATTTACGATCTTGTTATACCCTTCCGATCTTAGGTAAGATCTCAATTTTAATAACATTGGATACAAGTTCTTTCTCTACTCAACTCAGTCTATACTCTATATTGCTAACTGAGCTACACCCATTGAGTTATATTGAAAGTATATTTTGTTTCCACTCAATTTTACATTTTTAGGACTTTAAATTCAAGTGCATTTAAAATAAGTATGAATAGTATTTCTTAATATTAATTAACACTTTCTCGGTAACACCATAATATTTTTAATTTTTGGAATTTTTTCGATATAGAACACTCATGTCGATAAAATGGCTTGAATTTCCCTTATGGTGAAAAATAGGAAAAACAGGTATTTGACCCCTTTTTATACTTATACAATGTAGAATTGATGTAATTTATTTTGGAACATCTCTTAGTTCTTTTATTTTTTAAATTATAATTTTATTATATATATATATATATATATATATATATATATATCAGATTTATTCATGATAAGATTAGATTAATTATAATTTTAAAAGATTTAATTTGATTAAAATATTCGGTTAAGATTTACCCTTTTTCATTCAACGCAACTGTAAAGAACCAATTCAACCCAAACGCTTAAACTGATGGACCTACATGTGCAAAGAAAGGAATTCCACTAGAAAGAAAGTGGGGGCGGTGAAGATCGAATCCGGGACACGAGGCTCTGATACCATTAAAAAACTAATTCAACCCAAAAGCTTAAACTGATGGGTGAGTGCTTTTTAATGTTTTTATATATCTCAACAGCAACAAATTGAATGCACGAGCATGCTAATTTTTTTTTGGTAAACGCACGAGCATGCTAATTGATTGTAACTTGAGTTACCATCTATAATGCACTGATATCGATATAGGACATGAGATGAGATATAATATGATACTCCGACATGTTAATTTAAAAAAATATATTAGATTTTGACATATTAGAACATATTTTGCAGTGTTTTAAAACTCGGACCGGTCATCGAACCGGTCGAGGTACTGGGTCACTAGTTCAACCGAGTTGAACTGGTTTTATTGTTCACATATTAAAAATATAAAAATATTACTTATATTAATAAAAATTCACATAAGAAAACTATCTATGAGCTTCAAAAAATAAATTGGTTTTCAATGATAGCAAATATTATATACTTCTAAGCTTCTAGCTCTAGACCGTTGAGATGAGATCATGAGACCATCAGTGTTTATCACCATTTAACTTCATGAGATCATTATAAGATGCAACTAAATTACATAAACAAACTACACTAATCTAAAATACCTTATTATTTTCACCTTACTTTTAATCATATTCATCAATATGATATAATTCAAGAGTTCTTATCAACAAAAAAATAATTTTTTCAAAAAAAAAAAGAAAAAGAAAAACCGGTTTAACCCGAGTCAACCGGGACGTTGAATTTCGGCCGGGTCAACCGTTCCAATCCGGGCTGACTACATAACCAGTCTAACTACCCGCTCGGACTGGGGAACCCACCAGGTCATCGAGTCCCGGGTCGACCCGGCCGGTCCGAGCCGGGTTTTAAAACACTGATATTTTGATATTAAATAATATTTTTAATTTATATAATATATACTATATTCAATATTAAATAATATTTTTAATTTATATAATATATATTATATTCAATATTCAATAATTTAACAAAAAATGAATTTAAATTTGCAATACTTATCAATTTTGTGAAAATATAAAATATCACAAATATTTATATTAAACTCAATAAAATAATAATCATAATCTAACAAATCTAATAATTAAACTAAAAACGTAACGGAACCTTTAAACAATTTCTTGAGCGTTTATAATATGTCTTAAAGTGTTGAAGGTGCATCGTAGGTTGCCATTTGTAGGGTTGCAAAAACGAGCCAACCCGTCTTAAATAAGTCGGGTTGGATTGGCCTAAATGAGCTGCCAACCCGATACAACCCGACCTAATACAACCCTAACCCAAACGAGTCAACCCTCGGGTTAAACGGGCCAGCTCGCGGGTTGGGTATTTTTTTTAAATTAAAAAAATAAAACGTTTGGTTTGAGCTTTTTAACGCTGAAGACCAGAATCCTTTTCCAGCATCAGGGCGCTAAAACGTTTGAGCTTTAACGTTTTAACGCTGAAGACCTGCATATTTCTGGCTTTGACGTGCAGCAGCGCGCTAAAACGTTCTGGATGGACGTTTTAGCGCTCCAGACCAACATCTTTTGGCTTCTTTCTGTAGCAGGGCGCTAAAACGTTCTGGATGAACGTTTTAGCGCTCAACACTTAGAATTTTTTCTCTTCTTCAGAATCTTCTTCCTTCTCCTAGAGCCAACCCGCGAGCTTTTTTCCGAGCCAACCCGCGAGCTGATTATCGAGCCAACCCGCGAGTCAACCCTAACCCGGCTCGGGTTGGGCTGGGTTGGGTTTTCTGACTCATTTATTTTTTCAAGTCACCCCTAACCCGACCCGATTTTTACGGGTTAAATGCGAATTGGGCCGGGTCGAGCTGGGTTGGCCCGTTTTGCCGACCCTAGCCATTTGCCTCAGTTATGTCTCGCTTAAGGGATTAATGTAGGCCCACTTTATCTTTAAAAGCTCCAACGTGGCACAACGTTATTGAGTATCGACCACATCCACTAAAACGCAATCCAAACCAACTCTAAAGTGCACCCCGAACATAAATTTTGATATTTTTTTTGGTTCATTAAATTTGATATTAATTTATTCTTTATTCAGATTTTCTCTGTTTTATATTTTTTTTTAAAAAAAATCTCCGTTTTTACTTTTCGTCTTCTGTCTTCTTAACTTTATTTTTCTTTAAAGTCAAACATACTTAAAAAATTGATAAACATCAATGAGGATTTATCTCAAAATTATTTATAACGTTTGTTTGGAAAATTTTTATTTTACTTTTTAACTCTTTATTTGTTATGCTTTAGCTGAAATTTATACATAACTTACAAATATATATATATATATATATATATTTCTGAATTCATTTAAAATACAAAAACTATAATAATATAGACTTGACATAAAAACTCACATTCTATAAGGTCCAAAAAGGATTAACAACTAAGTAGAAAAATAAGAAAATATTCTTTAGCTATACTAATTATAGTGTGACAATAACGAATCAAAAATTGGACTCTCAATTTTCTTAAGAGGCTCAACAATTCACGTGTTTGCCGAGTAACTTATTTATAAATAAATGATTAAATCAATCAGGTACACACTTTTGATTTCTTTTTCTATTTTTCTTAACTGTCACTATACATATATTCTATCATTTGACTATGCCGTCATTATAAATGCAGAATGATCCTCTATTCTCTAAGGTATTTGAATACTTCCCCCGTAAATACCTAAAAGAAGATATCTAAATCCTATAAAAATATATCAATCTCTAATTGCACATCCCGATCCTACATGTACTCTAAAAGAAAATTAAAGATTTGTACATGATATACAAATATTTCAAAACCATGTTAAAAATATTTGTGTAATGAATGGGATATTTAATGCATAAAATTATAATATTTACATGAAAATATGAATAAAATTACGTTAACATGTTATACAATAACAACAACTATGTATTTCATGTTGACGTGCCCAGAACCTACTTTAAAAATAAAAGATTTCTTAATATAAATAAATACTTTATGTGTGAGATTATACTATTTTTCAGTTAATATAATTTATTTGAAAACGTCTCTTAGATTTTTTATTTTGAAAATTCTATGATTTTATTATAAGGTGAAAAGAATTGAGGTCATTTGCAATTGCCTCAACGATGTCTTGCTCGAGAATATTTTTGGTATTGCATGTGTACTGAAAATTTGGTGCATCTTTTATTTATTTTGTGACACGTATCTTACTTTATATTAAATTATTTTCTTTTTAATTTTAAAATAAATTATTTATTGTTAATTTGATAAAAATAAAACACATATTACAATATAAGTGGAAGATACACCAAATTTATTGTGCACAGCACCAGAAATTTTTCGTCTTGCTCAATCGATGAATAGGGCGTTAATGTAGGCCCACTTTATCTTAAAGGCTCCAATGTGGCACAACGTTATTGAATAGCGACCACATCCACGCAAACGCAATCCGAACAAAATCTAATTCATAGGATTTCATTTCCACAAAATAATAATAATAATAAGAATCGGAACAAAAAAAACAACCATCACAACAACTTGGCTTGCATTCCTGGGAGCAGAGCGAAAATGGCCACAACCTTTGCGACCGTCGTAGGATTGGGTGGTGCATCGCTTTCATCTACCTCATCACGCCTCACCTCAGGTATTATTACATTAAAATATCATGTAGATTAGGATCAAGATGAGCATCTTATTCTTATGTGACATGTTTTGTAATTTTTTTTGCAGGGTTTGTGAAATCGCCAATGATTGCTAGGAATCCTTTGAGGCAAGCTATGGCACTGGGAGATGGTGGGAGGGTTACGTGGTAATTTTATTATTACAAGATTTATTTTTGTGTGAGTTTGAAATTAAATATATTTTTTTTTTGAAAAAAAGGGTGACATATGTGAATTGTGATGTGCTATGAAGCTTCCAGAGGGATTGGCTGAGGACAGATTTCAATGTGATTGGGTTTGGGTTGATTGGTTGGTTAGCACCTTCTAGCGTACCGGCTATCAACGGTAAAAGTCTCACCAGCCTCTTCTTTGATAGTATTGGAGCCGAACTTGCTCACTTCCCCACTCCTCCTGCTCTTTCTTCACAGTTTTGGTTAGTCTATTCTTGTTCAATTGGTTCTTTACTTTATGCCAATCATAATAATAATAGTAAAATGAGAAATTAGAAGAAAAATGATAGATAGGAAGTAATCAGTTTGATGTGTTGGATCTTCTGAGGTTGTCCTTGTCCATGAAGAGAAAACTTATTAGTTGAGTATTGCATATTTTGATTCACGTAGATGAGTAGATCCAATCTCAAAACATTTTCTATTTGTCAGTATATATCTTAAACATTGAGATATAGGATAAGGTTGAGAAAAAAATAGTAGATGAAATACAGTCGGGGCCTCTCTCTTGGGTTTTATTTTATGTCAAGAATTTAATTAATATGTACTGTAAATTCTATACTAAGTGTTGGGAACTTGGTTCCCTCAAACTTGGCTAAACAGTCTTTTTGCGGAAGTCAATCAACAAGATTCTGGATCTCGGATCTCGGCAATTACTTCGGCCTGAACTTCACCAGGTCGGGCAGCGCAGCGGAAAATCAAAAACACAAACAGGAGAGAGAGAAGGAGAACACAAACAAATTTTAACGTAGGAAAACCTTCTCCAATGAAGAAGTAAAAATTCACGGGACCTAGTCCAGATCAAACGTCCACTATGAAAATAATGGATACAAAGAATCAAAATACACCAATGTGGTGGTTAATTCAACCTCTCAAACAATGGTGATAATCAAACTACCCTAGAGATGTTTTACTCAAACTCTCTCTAGAGATCTCTCAAATACAAAGCTTAAAGCTTTGCTCACAAATCTCTCAAATAGAAAGCTTAAAGTTTTGCTCACAAATCTCTCAAATATTTTTCTCTAATTCTCTTTCTCTAACCTAGCCTCCACCCACAACTAATGAATATATAAAGGAGGTGAGATATAAGGTTTAAGGTTTAGAGTTTTTAGGAAACCCCTCAATGGGCTTGGGCTTAGCATTGAAGGAGGAAGCCCAACAAATTTCCCCCTCCGACTTCAATGCGTCGGCTTCAGCATCAACCCGGCTCCTTCACAGCAGTCTTCGAATTTTCTTGTTGGAACCGGCTTTGTCATCATGTCGCACCAATTTTGGTCAGTGTGCACTTTGATCAGTTCGAGCTCTCCACCTTCCACCACATCCTGGATCCAGTGATACCTCACATCAATATGCTTAGTGCGGGAGTGATAAGTCGAATTCTTCGCAAGATGAATTGCGCTTTGATTGTCACAACTCAGCTCGTACTTGTCTTGATCATGGCTGAGTTCCATGAGGAACTTCTTCATCCACAACATCTCTTTGCTTGCCTTAGTCGCGGCAATGTACTCAGCCTCGGTTGTCGATAGTGCAACACATTCTGAAGTCTTGATTGACAGGAGACAGCTTCTCCGACAAATCTCATAATGTATCCCGTCGTCGATTTTCTCGAGTCGGAATCTCCCCCTAAATCAGAATCTGAATAGCCTTGCAACTCGGCTGTGCCTTCTCCAAATCGGAGGCATAAGTTGGTCATACCTCGGAGATACTTGAAGGTCCACTTCACTGCTACCCAGTGCTATTTGCCTGGGTTTGACAAATAACGACTTACCATTCCAACAGCATACGCCAAGTCGGGTCTAGTGCAAACCATTGCGTACATCAAGCTTCCGACAGCGGATTGGTACGGGATCTTCAGCATCTCGTCTTTGTCTTCATCAGATCTCAGACATTGCTTCTGGTTCAGCTTTGTGTGTCCAGGTAGAGGGGTGCTCACTATTTTGGCTTTGTCCATGCTGAATCTCTTCAGAATCTTCTCAATATACTTCTCTTAACTTAGCCACAATAGCTTCTTTTGTCTATCTCGGATAATCTTGATTCCGAGAATCTGCTTTGCAAGGCCGAGGTCCTTCATTGCGAAGGACGAGCTCAACGCCTTTTTCAGGGCGGCTATCCTCGATTTGTCTTTCCCTGCAATAAGCATGTCGTCAACTTATAACAACAAAATCAAAAAATCTCTGGCCTCATACCTCTTCACAAATACGCAGTGGTCGGCTTCTGTCTTCTCAAACTTGTGATCAATCATAAATGATTCAAACTTCTTGTACCACTGACGAGGTGCTTGCTTCAAGCCATAGAGGCTCTTCTTCAACCGACATACTAAGTCTTCTTGGTCTGGAGCTTGGAACCCCTCAGGTTGCTCCATATATATCTCTTTTTTTAAGTCACCATGAAGAAATGCCGTCTTCACATCCATTTGTTCTACCTCGAGGTCCATCGAAGTCGCCATGGCTAACACGGTTCGGGCCGAGGTCATTTTCACCACAGGAGAAAAGATCTCCTCAAAGTCTACTCCTTTCTTCTGATTGAAGTCTTTCATTACAATCCGAGCTTTGTATCTCGGCTTCTGCCCGTTCTCTTCATTCTTGATCATGTAGACCCATTTATTTTTCAGAGCTCGTCTTCCTTCAGGCAACTCGGTCAGCTCATAAGTCTGATTCTCGTGCAGAGACTTCATCTTGTCTTGCATTTCTTTTTCCCATTTTTCTTTCCCTGAGCTCGTCACAGCCTCATCATAACTCTGAGGCTCACCGTCTTCAGCTACAACGGTGTATTCATCAGATGGGTATCTTGTAGAGGTCTTCTTTCTCGAATTGGATATCTCGGCTGTTCTTCATCTTTATAACCTGGTTCATCATTTTCATCTCGGATCTCATCATCAGCTCGGACCTCATCATCAGCTTGTTGTTAGTCATCATTTTCTTCATTTTCTTGATGTTCTCCCCCTGCTTCAGCTCGGACAGAAGGAACGAGTTCTTCACGTCTGACATTAACCCGGGCTTTGGGTTTCGAGATGTCATGAATGTTCTCATCTTCATGAAAGATCACATCTCGGCTTCTCACTATCTTCTTATTGATTGGATCCCAAAGTCGGAACCCGAACTCACATCTCGGCGAACCAAGATAGATGCATTCTTTTGTCTTCGCGTCAAGTTTTTCCCTTTCATCTTTAGGGATATGCACGAAATCTCGACATCCAAACACCTTCAATTGATCATAGGTCGCTTTCCGACCTGTCCAGACTTCTTCTGGAATTTCTCCTTCAAGTGGCCGTGATGGTGAGAGGTTGATCAAGTCAACAACAGTTCTAACGGCTTCTCCCCAGAATGATTTCGACAATCTGGCATTGGATAGCATACTTCGGACCTTCTCTTCAATAGTCTTGTTCATCCTCTCAGCAAGTCCATTCAACTGTGGAGTCTTGGGAGTCGTCTTCTTAAGTTGGATCCCGGCTGCTTTGCAGTATGCATCAAAAGGGCCGCAATACTCACCACCATTGTCAGATCGGACCACCTTCAATTTCTTGCCAGTCTCCCTTTTAACCATAACATGGAATTCGTTAAAGGATTGGAGTACCTGGTCTTTAGACTTCAACAAATAAACCCACACTTTGCGGGAGTGGTCATCAATGAATGAAACAAAATACTGAACTCCTCCAATAGATCTCTCTGACATAGAGCAAACATCTGTATGGACGAGGTCAAGAATATACCTGCGTTGTCTGGGTTGATCCGGTCTCACAAAAGAAATCATGTGCTGCTTTCCAGATAGGCAGTGCGTGCAACTCTCCAACGCTTGGCCTTTCAACCCGGTCAGTAATCCTTTCTTGTTCAGGATCTGGAGCCCTTTCTCGCTCATGTGGCCGAGGCGCTTGTGCCATAGCTCCAAGATAGGTTCATCTCGGATATAATTGGCTTCTCCGCCATTGATCTTTCCTTGTATCACGTACAAAGAGCCTTCCTTCTTACCTCGGGCAACAACCAAGTTTCCCTTGGCCAGCTTCCATCTAACACTACCGAAGTAGCTCCCTAACCTGACATCATCAAGCTTGCCTACTGAGATTAGATTCAATCGCATGTCAGGCATCGCATGTCAGGAACATGCCTTACATCTTTCAACACAAGTCGGCATCCAACATCTGTGGTCAGGGTTACATCTCCGACACCAACATTCTTGTTGGTCACTTGATTTCCCATATTCACCAACACCAACAATCTTGCAATGTTGGCCTCAAACGTGCTCGAAACACCTCGTTATCTTCTCCTGGCTTCTTCGCTCAGGAGGCTGTCTGTCACGATATCCATCTTCACCGACACCAACAATCTTGCAACGTTGGCATCAGACGTTCTCGAAACACCTCGTTCTCTTCTCCTGGCTTCTTTGTTCAGGAGGATGTCTGTCACGATATCCATATTCAATTTTCCATCTAGAGTCGAATTACTCAAGGTCACCACCAGAGTATCCCAGCTTTCTGGCAGCAAACTCAACAACAGCAAAGCCTGCGTCTCGTCATCAATTTTCATCTCAGCCTTTGACAGCTGATTCACGATACCTTTGTAGGTGTTGAGGTGTTCAATCATGCTCATGTCGTCCTTGTATTCCAGCTTCACAAGTCGGCGAACCAGGTGTGCTTTGTTCCTGAGAATCTTCTTCTGAATCATGGACTCCAGCTTCGTCCACAACTCGTACGAGTTCGTGAAGTCGGACACGTGCTCAAAGAGGCTTTTATCAATATATTTTCTGATCGTAGCTACCGCCTTACGACTCTGGATCTCCCACTCCTTATCGGTTTTGCTTGCCGGTCTCTCATCAAAGATAGTGTGCTTATGTAAATCTTTGTCGTAGAGATGATCTTACATCATCGGTCTCCAATAAGTGAAATTGTCTGCGGTCAGCTTGAACATATCTCCGTCATGGGTTATACCATTGGTCTCCATCTCGTCTCCCTCAGAACATGTCGAAACTCGGGCTTTGATACCACTGTTGGGAACTTGGTTCCCTCAAACTTGGCTAAGCAGCCTTTTCGCGGAAGTCAATCAACAAGATCCTGGATCTCGGATCTTGGCAATTATCTCGGCCTGAACTTCACCAGGTCGGGCAGCGCAGCGGAAAATCAAAAACACAAATAGGAGAGAGAGAGAGAGAGAGAAGGAGAACACAAACAGATTTTAACGTGGGAAAACTTTCTCCAATGAATAAGTAAAAATCCACGGGACCTAATCCAGATCAAACGTCCACTATGAAAATAATGGATACAAAGAATCAAAATACACCAATGTGGTGGTTAACTCAACCTCTCCAACAATGGTGATAATCAAACTACCCTAGAGATGTTTTACTCAAACTTTCTCTAGAGATCTCTCAAATACAAAGCTTAAAGTTTTGCTCACAAATCTCTCAAATATTTTTCTTTAATTCTCTTTCTCTAACCTAGCCTCCACCTACAACTAATGAATATATAGAGGATGTGAGATCTAGAATTTTTAGGAAACCCCTCAATGGGCTTGAGCTTAGCATTGAAGGAGGAAGCCCAACACTAAGATCTATTAGTATTTTGGTATATTATTATTGGGGTATTTGTTTCTCCTTTTACAGGAAAATAAAATTTCATTCTTGACATAATTGTGTGTGTCCCATAAGTCAAAAAGAATAATTAAAAAACAAGATTAAAACTTATGTGTACAGAGAGAGAGAGTGTTGTTTCTCCAACAGGAGAAAAACAACACCCGTTATTATTTATCATACTTGTTATATTAATTATGGGTAATATTTTTCTTATGTTGCATAAGAGAAATATTATCTCCTACACTCACATTTTTTAAATGGGTCCTATAAGATTTTTTCTCTCACCTTCAATTTTTTTTTTCTCTTATTTATTATTTGAGTAGGAGATAATACTTCTCTTATGCAACATAAGAAAAGTATTACCATTAATTATTGAGAGAATGAGCTGATAACAAATGGTGATATGTTAAAATATTAGTAGGTGTCAGCAGAAAAGAGTTTTTAATGCATTTTTTTATACAAATAGTATATACTAATTAAACTCTTGACGAAAAGTAATTTTTTTTTTTTTTTTTTTTTTTTGGCTTAATTTGAAAGCATATAGGTGAGAAAAAGTGGACTCCGGCCCAGAGTCCAAATGCTTGGCCAACGTTCTTAGCCCAATTTTTGAGTAGGCCAAATTTTAGTTATCAGTTCATTTGTGGGTATTGCTGCTTGCTTTTTCTTTTCTGTTTTAAACTTTAAAAATTACAATCTTAAACCTAGAAGTTAGGCGAGGACCGTGAATGATGAGAATTTTTTTTTAATTATATTTATATAATAGTAATAAATTTATTATTATTATTTTCATTTTCCCCCGCTCAAATATTAATTATGTAGCAACAATTGTTTTTAATTGCATGGAAAAATCGGTTTGAGCCGAATCAAGTCGATTTCTCAACATTCTTTTTTTTAAGCTTATATAATGAGAAGTTGCCCTGAGGATTGTTTAGATGGAATTTGTTTAAGCCAAAAACTGTTTTTTTTTTTTTTTAAAAGCACTTTTACTATAAAATTTGGTTGGATATCTGTTTTTAAAAAAATCATAAGCCACAAAAAAAGTCTTTTGAAAGCTAAAAATTTTAGTTTCTAAAAAGAAGAAGTAGAAATCAAGAATTAAATATTTTCAAAATTCAAATATTTTTTTAAAAATCTAAATAAATTTAGCTTTTATAAAAAAATACTTATAAAATAAGCAAGACATAAAAAATATTTTTTTTATAGAAACAGTTGGCAAGTCGCTAAATATTTTTTTCAAAACTCAAATATTTTTTTTTAGAAATCTAAATAAATTTAGCTTTTATAAAAAACACTTATAAAATTAGTAAGATATAAAAAATATTTTTTTATCCAAACAGTAAGTCGCCTCTCAATAGAAAAAGTATTTCTGCAATTAATAATTGAATTTGAAGTAAGATAAAAATAATAATTGTAAGGTCCCACCGAGATTTGAACTCGGGTTACTGGATTCAGAGTCCAATGTCCTGACCACTAGACCATGGGACCATCGTTGCTACTAAGTGGCGATACAAAATAAAAGTTATGGTATTACATCTAATAATGTATGTATTTTCAAAACTTTTTCTGGCAAGACGTAATATATGAGGCAAACTTGATGAGCAGGTTATGGATGATTACGTGGCACCTGGGGCTGTTCATATGCCTCACTTTTGGGCAAATTGGCTTCAAGGGAAGGACCGAGGACTACTTTTGAATTCCTAACTTATGGTCTTTTCTTGCTTTTTCCTTTGTTATTATTATTTTTCTGTCATGCAATGTACGATGTATAACTCTTGCCACCTTTTCCTTCTGACTAGGAAAAATCTGTGTAATATCGCTCCGTAATGTTGTATATTATTATTATTGTACTTGTCCCTCATCAATTCCCCAACTTTTTTACTCCTGCAATCTCAAGAACCTATCTTTTTTTTTCTTTTTTTTGGTACATCAAGAACCTATCTTTATTATAATTATCAAGCAAGAAAAAAAAAAGTCTTCATTCATTTTTTAAAAAATTAGCCTTGAAGGGATGGAATGGAAGTATTGCTGTACCATTTATTAGTTTAAATGTGATATAATATTAATTAATAGACGACGTAATAATAAATTAACATATATTCGTAATTAAGTAATATGATAATATATTTAAGTTTAATAATAAACATAAAGTTTTTAAGTTTATGATATTAAATATTATACTTAAAAATAAATTTAAATATACTATCATATTAAAAATAATTATTTAATACTTTTAAAAAAATCAAAACAGTGTCCGATGAGTTATTTATTTATTTCTTTAAATTTCTCTAAACCAATCTGATCGAATAAAATTTTCGTCCTAGGTTTACTGATTCTACTAATTATTTGTATGTTTAAGTTTATTTGGTAGAAGAGAAAATTCTTTTTATTCGAGAATCTCGATTTTTAAAAATATGATTTTTACATTCAATTTATGATAATATTCAAAAATATAAAATTTAAAAAAATTTAATTTTTCGAGAATTCTGAAGAATTCCGCGTACCAAACGCCTTCCAGTTCATATTGGAATTTTTTTGTCACTGGTTTCATATTGCTTGCACTGTCGGCAATGTTTAAAATAAGGAAGTTTCTCTACAACCTCACCACGTGAATGACGAAAGATAGACAAATGATGGTCCTATTTTATTTTCTTTGAACTTGAATAATTTCAGTGTACGTCTTGCCATATTTTTTTTTCTCTTATTATCAGTTTCTTATCTTTGCCAAAGCATGCAATAATGCCTGACCAACTCCAAGCACCAATGTCAATGCTCTAGTCACTCTACTAATTAAATTGGCTGTGAAGACTCAATTAGGATAGACTCATAGACCTGTTTTCCTTCCCCTTCAAAAAGCTTTCGGTTCTGCATGTCCTTGCGGGTATATCTGAGGAGATACTATGGATCTTAGAAAAAGCACTATAGGCAGTAAAGTAAGCTATAAAAGCTGAAGACTCCAATGGACGAAGATAAGCTTGTATAAAATGCAATTGCAGGATCGCTCAGCTGGTCGAATTTTCTGCCTAAGTCTCTTCTAATTTGGATTTGATTATTAGCCTTTTTTTTTCCTTTGGGAAATGTGTAATAAGTATATTTCATAATTGAGAAATACTACTCTCATCTTACATGAGGTAATTATCTTATATTCTCCCACTTCGAAATTTTTTTTTTTTTTTTATCTTTTAACAGTGGACCTCACCTAACTTCTCTCTATAATATTAGATAACTACTCTAATATAAAATGAGAATAATATTTTCTTAAAACAATTATGATGAGTATTAATAACATAATTAGATTGATATAAATTAAGTGTGATTGATATAATCATGATTATATTATAATTCATTAGAATTAGATTGATATCAATTAAGATTATTATTATTTATTATTGTTACTGTTTTATGAAAAATTATTATAAAAAATTAGTTGGCGGAATGGAATAAATAACAATAAGAAAGTTTTTTTCTCCCAATTATTTCTTAATTCTCTTCTCCCTCTATCAATCAAATTCTCTCTCTCTCTATCTATCTATCACAATACTCATCGCTTCTTTTGCCCTATTATATATTTCATTTTGTTATAAAATGATATATAATTTCACTTTAAATTTTCCGTGAGACAAGTGATGTGCCTGATACTTAAATGCCTTCTCTGATCTAAACTTTTATTAAAAAATGCAATTGAAGTGCAAGTTCCCGCATACTTACAGACACAATGGCCAAATGTCCAAATGAAACCACATTCTATGTTCCCATTCCAAAACAAAGAATTATAAGTATAGGCAAAATAACCATGGTAGGGGCCACCATGCAACAGGCACTGTGTGTTTTCTTTATGAGTTATGAACTTATTATGACCATTAGATTTGCTAAAAAGCACATTGAGCCGTTTGTTAGGGCCCCACCGCGTGCCCTTCTCCCTGTGAGTGTGTGAAGGAAGCAAGTGACTTCTTGATATGATTGATTGGGAGTTTTAAGGTGCAGTAACACTTCCTGGACTAGATTACACAGCCACCTCAATTATTATTCCGTACATTTAATTTTTTTTTAGCCTAACTCTGAGAGTGCAATCTATTTTTTCTACATGAAGCACATCTTGCTTTCTTTGTTTTCTCTACTTTAATTTGACTCTAATGTTAAGGTTATCTCTTTATCCTGGTTATGCTATCCATCAAATTATGAAGACAATTTATTGGTCTATGTATTCCCCCTAGTGACCCCTAATGATTTAGCATTCAATGCACCAGATGGTGTGATGGTATGACATAACAAATAACAATAATCAATCTTTATCTTACATATTAATAATCTTTGAATCATATAAAAAAATATTATTGGGATTGGTTCAATTAGAATAAAGTTTATAACTCCAAGGACTAACGGCAAATAGAAAATGGTGTTATAGATGACGTGAAAAGTCTGCTCAAGACAGATTTGAGGAACATTCCAGGTGAGATCAAGGGCTAAGTACAATATAATATTATAGATTAATATTCGAGTGGCAATGAACCAATGCAATACAGAGAATCAAGTCAATAACTCATCAATATCAATTTTAATTACTCGTATGCATTAAATTAGCATGGACGTTTCTTTGAACATTGATTGAATGCACCTGCCCCTCACGTGTCAGCCACGTTGTCTCTTCTCGTCTTTTTCAAAAGGGGGGGTTTTCCAACCAATCAAATGACCAATAAACAGTGTGCATCCTTCCCCCTCACAAGATTTCTCACACTCCACACCAAAAAAATAATTTTTTTTTTTCCTCTCACTTTTTCTTTCCCTCTCACAAGATTTCTCAAGGCCAACACAACAAAACACAACTCAACTCAAACTCAAACGTATCTTTCCATTTTTTGACATGTTCCCACTTTCTCTAGTCTTCAAACCCCTTTAGACCTTCAAATTATAAGCCGAGGGAGAGAAAAAGTGGTAGAAGTAGCAGTACTGTAGTATTAGAAGAAGAAAGAAGATCTTTCGTGACCCACTTTGCTAAATTCAAGGCTAAATAGTTTCATTTCCATTTTAACCAAAAAAACATTGAAAAAAAAAGAAACAAGATGATGATGATGATGCTGACCTTGTTCCCATGAACTTTGTGCAGCTAGCACTGCCCTTATCTCGTGTTGGAATCCTCATGTGAATCTCGCATACCCGGGATTTTCGGGTACGTCAAATTCCAGCACGCAATTTTTCATCACCATGTCCTCGTGTCATCAGAACAACAACCTTAACGAAGGTATTATCAAAGAGAACCACAACAAGATCAGGAAACGAGGTTGTTCCTCGTCCTCTTCTTCTTCTTTGGTCCGAAGATACCGATTCAAGAGAGCTATTTTGGTTGGGAAAAAAGGAGGTTCCAGCACCCCAGTACCTATGTGGAAGACTAGAACAACAACGACAACAACAACGTCTCCTTCTATGCCTACTCAACAACTTCACCATGCCCAATTCACTAAACCTTTGCATTCTTCTGGTTCTGGGTTACCCTCCAGAGAAAAGGAACATTCTGTGTCAGCTAGAAAACTCGCTGCTACACTTTGGGAAATCAATGATTTGCCTCCTTCGAGGGTCAAGAAGGACTTTAAGGAAAAATTCAGAAGCAGAGAGAAAGCTGTGAGCTTGTCCAGATCGGACTTTTTGCTACCATACATGTCAGATCCATCGCATAGTCCTACTTCAGAGGTAAATTCATATCAACGTATCATCACTTCCCACCCCCCCTTTGTTTTGGTTCAACGGTCATGCTTTACATTTGATTGCACAGAGAATGAAAGTGTTTGAAGGTGATGGCTGCAAAAGAAGAGTGTCAGCGTTATCTCATCAACTTCATTCGGATGATTTCTACAGTGCCAGTTTAATTGAGGTAGAGTGTGTTTAGTAAATTTATAAAACCTTTATTTTTATTTTTTCTTGGGGGTTTTATTTAATGGATGAAAATGAAGATGGATTACAATGATGACACTTGAGAGAAGTTCACTATGAAATTATTTAAGGGGCGTTCATCAACTGATCCAAATCGCAGTGACTGAACCGAAAAACCGAAAAAAAATAAACGGTTACTTTAATTGAATTAAATCGGTTTTCAGTTTGGTTGCTGAAAACCGATCCAATAAAAATCGATTCAATGTATCATGTATCTATTATTTTTAAAATTCCACTAATGCCTTTTTCGCTAAGTGAGTAACGGGTACTTAGTTACTCTCTTAGTTTCGAATCCTGGAATAGGCTATTTCTAAATTCACACCCACCCGCATTGCAGCTCCTGTCTGAAGAACCCATTTGGAATTTTGGAAGTTATTGATAGCAAATTATCTTATTTTGGTTTTTTATTGTATATTACTTTATTTTAATTCTTTATGAGTTTGAAGACTTGTTTTAGTTTGAAGACTTGAATTTTTCAGTGGTATGTAACTTTATATAGTTTCATTTTGATATAGTTAGTGATTTGTATGGCTGAAATTTTAGGCTTTTCAAAAAATCGAAAACCGATCTAATCCAAATTGAATAAAATTGGATCGGATTTGAAAAAAATCCAAACCGAATAGATGATTAAATAATCAAACCGAAGGGGTTGAATCAGATCAGACCTCGAACACCCCTAATTTAAATTGTTTCGTTGGAATCTGTCTCAAAATATCAACATTAGTTTGAAGTAACAACCATGACCTTATAGCGCTTGAGAATTCATTAGTCTAGACTTAGTTTATGGTTAAACTGTTATGACTCACTCTGAACCTGTATGATATCTTGATATTTTTCTTTTCCTGGTTGTTGGGAAGGATGGAACTGAACTATGTTGAAAACTTGAAATGCAGGAGGTAGAAAATCAGCTAAGAAAGGAGAAGAATTATGGGAAATGCACGGTTGGAATTAAGAACCGTCTGAAGGAAGCTAGGAGTGGCCTATCTACATCAAAGAAGCTTCTAAAGGTGTTAAATCAAATGTGCCTTCGAGAAAAGCAGTCATCAAGCATGCCCCTTGTCTTGGCTCTGGGAAGTGAGCTTGATAGGGTCTGCCACCAAATTGATCAACTGATCCAAGAACAGCATTCAGAACAGAATGATATTGAGTATGTCATGAAGCGTTTTGCAGAAGAAAAGGCTTCTTGGAAAAGAAGAGAACGAGAAAAGATTCATGATGCCATAAAAAATGTGGCAGAAGAGCTTGAGGTGGAGAGGAAGTTAAGAAGGCAAACTGAATGGTTGAATAAGAAGATTGCCAAAGAAATGGCTAATGAAAAAGCTTCCCATTTGAAAGCATCCAAAGAGCTTGAAAGGGAGAAACGTGCAAAAGAGATTCTGGAGCAAATTTGTGATGAACTAGCCAGAGGTATTGGGGAAGACAAAGCGCAGGTAGAGGAACTGAAAAGGGAGTCAGCTAAAGTTAGAGAAGAGGTGGAAAAGGAGAGGGAAATGCTTCAGTTAGCAGATGTTTTGCGTGAGGAGAGAGTCCAGATGAAGCTTTCAGAGGCTAAATATCAGTTTGAGGAGAAAAATGCTGTCCTTGAAAAACTGAGAAATGAGCTTGAGGGCTTTATGAGAACTAAAGATGAAGAAAATGGGAATGTTTCTCCAGAGTTTGAAAAAATCAAGGATTATAAGTCTTATTTCAACAATATCTGTCGGGGATTCCGAAATTCAGAGAAAGAGAATGATTTGGATGTAGGAGATATTGTAGAGCATGAAGGAGATGATTCAGATGATAGTGATCTCCATTCCATTGAATTAAACATGGATAATGACAATAGAGGCTACATGTGGAGTTATGCTCGTGAAAATGTTGCTCAAGATGACTCAAAAAGAGTTTCAATTGATAAAGAAAGTATTGGGAGGAAATCTTTCTCTGAGAAAATTCAGTGGGGAAGCATTTGCTTCAACAAGGGAACCACCAGTTGTAGGAAGAGGGATTTTGGTATAAATATTCAGGAAGATTCTGATAATTTTGATCCGGAAAGGTCAATTGAATTTCTCCCACAAGCTCGGATACAAGATGATAAGGATGAAAGTCAGAGCAATGGGTCTATTATGGTTCTCCAAGACTCTATGTCATGTGCCAATCCTGTTCAGAGAAATGGTCAACCATTAACTTTGCAGTATACTGTTGGAGAAGCTGGGGAAAATGGTCTTGCCTTGGAGGGTGACAATTTGAAGCAAGAAGCTGCAGGAAGAAAATCCGGATGTTAGGAGTTTTGGTAGTGATAGTTAGTGTCTTATTATCATAGATAGCTTCTAATATTTATTTTCCAAACTGTAAATGTCTTCTTTCCTTGAGTTTTCTTGAATTGAATATGTTCCAAGGCTTATCAATCTTATGTGTGGTAACTGTTAAGGCTATAGCAAGAAACATGTAAAATATTGAATAGATTGGCATACAATGCTTTTGTGCTAGCTACTTCTAGCTTTACTTGCATTTGATGTGCGAGTAACTGTTCCTATATATTCAGTCGAAATACAAGAAATAAAAAACAAGGGCATTCTTATTTGAACCAGTTGTTTAAGCCACTGGGATGGAAATTACAAGCTAGCAATGTCATTGCCATACATGGAATCTCATTATAGTTCCAAGAGAAAATAATGGTGTGGCCTCGAAACAAACGGGGTAAGAACAAGGACTTGACTACTAAAAGCTATCCTGGGGACACAATTTCATTCGAAATGTACAATTGTGATGTAAATGAAACAGTACAGACCGTGACAGGCTGACAGATAACATTATTATTGGATACTTCCAACTCCAACGATTCAAATATTTGAATTATGTACTCTTATGTTTGCCTAACGTTTGGAACTTTGGATGAACCATCGAGTAGGGCCATATCTGATATAATTTGACAATAACGGCTTTAATTTCTGGTGTAACGAACGTATCCAAATATTCATCTGGGGGAAGGAGGTATTTTCTAAGATATCCATATTAAAAGAGAAAATATACTTAAAATAAAATAAAATTACGTAGCCTATTGATTAGTGAACTTGTTCCTGGCACCTTCTATTGTTTATACTAATGGAACTACTGATTTCTTATGAGTATACATGTCAAATTCATCTTCACTCAGATAAAATTATATAGACCAAAGAATCAACTTTCTTATGAGTATACATGTTGAATTCATCTTCACTTAGATAAACTTATATAGACCAAAGAATCAAACGTAGACAGAGGAATCTGTTTAGTAATCTGCTTGTGTTCAAGCACCGTTATTGTTTACGGGATATCCAGAAGAATTTATGGGTTGAAGTAATGTGATAGATGGGTAACTACGGTCAAAACGAGAGCTTTGAGATTTCAAGATTCCAAAAGCAATTCGTAATGATGTCACATCCAATCTGATGATCAATAAGCCTTCATCAAGGCAGTATCACGAGTGCTAGAAAATCAGTAGAGAAGGGACCAATTCCTAAACATTCTAAATACCGAGCATGTAACTAATTGATGGCTAAGTACTGTAAACAATGTTTCAAGATCATTAACAACATTCAATCATCCAATTATTGATTTAGGTAAAGCCCAAATAAGCTCATCTAAATTGTATCGATGATACAAATGTTAATATACAACGAAGACAGAAAAGGATAAAAATGTGGACAGGTTCAGAATTAGAAGTTCAGAAGTTGCTGATCATAAAAGGAAGAAGCTACTTGGTCTTGTCTTCAATTTTTGTTGATGATGATGTAAAAGTAACTGGGATTGTTGGATGGTCCCTGACAACCAAGCTGAGTACTTCAGGCCGTGAATAGTGTCCAACCACATCAAAATCGAACTTAGCTCTAGCTATTTCTCCAAGATCTGCACAAAATTTACAAGAATCAGAGTGAAAGAAAAGGTAGTACTACAACCCCCAAGGGTAGCTCACTTGGCAAGTGAGTGTCCAAGGGATTGCTTTGGTCAAGGGTTTAAAACTTAACTAAAGCAATTCCTTGGAATTCTTTGGGGGCCAGAAGGAAACCACCTCCCCCTCGAAGGGGGATTAGTCTCACCCTTCCTCCGGTGACAGTGGTCCAATGCATTCTTTGCTTCAATGAAGAGTTAGCCTTAGGGCCGTACTCCGAGAGCAAAGTGACTGGAGGAAGTTGAGTGGAGATACCTCCAGGTTTGCATACCCAAAATAAAAAAAGGGTAGTACTACAAGTTCAATTCCAGCCAACCTAATAAGATTGCTAACCTAACAAAATTCCTGACATACTAAGAATCCTATATCCTAATATTCTAAGACCCCGCTAAAGTTGAAGCTCACAACAAGTGTAAATATTAGACAAGCATGAAATACCTAGGTCTGCTGAGATCAGTGCCTCCCCTTCATGATTTGGACCAGCCAGAATAGCCCCTGATGGTGAAATAATGACACTACCGCCAGCACATACAATAGAATCTGGAGTTGGCTCCTCTTCTGTGCCTGAAAAAACATACTCTGGAGGGGGTGGATAATCCTTCCTTCTACAGAACTGGTTTGCTGATAAAACAAAACATCCACCTTCAAGAGCAATGTGGGTCATTGAGGCTGGCCACACATCCCTGGCATCAGCTGTAGGTGCACAATATATCTCCACACCTGTTAAACAAACCCTACAGATTTAGCAAAAACATAACAAAACGCTGGTAAAAACCAACCAGCTCCGGTACAAGCACATAAGCACACTTTTGATTGCTCTTAAGTAATGTTGGTCATACAACATAGCGTTTAATTGGAAGATAAAAATCCAATATAATAAATTCTAACCTTTAGCATACATTGCTGTCCTTAATAGTGGCATCCTGTTCTCCCAACAAATGGCACCACCTATTTTTCCAATGGCAGTTTCAAACACTGGAATGGTTGATCCATCTCCAAATCCCCAGATAACCCGCTCCATTGCTGTTGGCATGAGTTTCCTGTGCTTTCCTAGGTAATGACCTTGAGAATCAAAGAATAGTATGGTACAATAAAGAGTGTAGCCATCCCTCTCTATCACACCCATAACTAGGTGCACTTTATACTTCCCTGCCATTGCTGCCAATCTATCCACTTCAGGACCTACATCAATTCAAGATATGTTAGAGGAAAAAGTGTGTGCCTAGAGTGAAAAATTTCAGAGATGGAATTTTTAAAAGAAAAACCCAACCGCAGATTTTTCACCTTCAATTTAAAGGTTACACCAAATTGATTCTTAGGATCAGTTTAGTGTGGATATAAAAATCAAGGCAAGAAATCCTTATATAAGTTCTATTAATAAAACTGATCTGGAGTAGCAAGTCAGGGTAGATATTCAACCCCAGATGGGAGATGGATTTGCTGTAAGGACTGATATAGAGGTTCTGGTATGGGTGACCAGTTCTCAACTTTAAAATCTTAATTTTTGACATTCCTTAGTGATAGTTTTTTCAGTAATTAAATGTATAAGTAAAAATAACTCTAGATATATTGGAACTAGAAGATTCTGAAGATCATTTGTTATTCTTTCTATTTAGGCAGTTTGTTCAAATTGTTATCTTTGTATATCTCTCCTATTCCTACGTTCTTATCTTACTGTTATCCTTAGCTTTCGTTGCTGTTATACGTTAGCTATCTTTGCTGTTTTACGTAGGTTCTCTTAGGCTGTTTTTCGGTTACTAGAGTTTAGGACTTATTGAGTCTATTTAATGACTTGTAACTTGTACATTCAATACACAATGAAATGCATTCTCTCATTACTATTTGTTATGGCATCAGAGCGATCCAATTCTAAATACTTCCGCAGCCTTTAGTTATTTTTTTCTTCATCCTTTCCACGTAAAAAAACAGCCATAACTTTCGAAGGCAGCAGTGGCTCTAAGCCTTCTGATCCCGGGTCGCCATTCTATCTGGTTGGATCCGACAATCTTGGTATTCTTCTGACTCCTGTAATGTTGTGTGGTGAAGCAAATTATGACAACTGGGCTAAACTGATGCGTAATGCTCTGCGCTCGAAGAACAAGCTGGGCCTCATTGATGGCTCCGTCAAGAAACCTGACAAAGCAAAAACTGATGAATGGCGTGCTTGGGAAATGTGTAATTCAATGATCAATGGTTGGATACATAATACCATTGATCCCAAGTTACAACCGTTCATAAAATGCTTTGACGAGGTAAAGGATCTCTGGGATGATCTGAAAGAACGTTATGCAGTACAAAATTTCTCTTGCCAATATCATATCAAAGCCACTCTCGCTAAAATCCGGCAGCAGGGAGGTACCATTGCGGATTACTACATGCAACTCAGAGTTGTTTGGGCTGAGATTGAAAGCAGCAAATCATATAAATCATGCGCATGTGGGGTGGATTGCACTTTTGCGAAGGAGATAGAAGAAGAAAATGAGCATGATCGTGTCTACAAGTTCCTGATGGGTCTCGATGAATAAGCCTATGGTAATCTTCGCTCTCAAATTCTTAACCATTCTCCTCTGCCGTTGATGAATAAAGTCTATGCCATGGTAACTCAAGAGGAGACAAATCGCTCCATCGTGCGCACTCAAACTTCTGCTTCTGATACAATAAGTTGCGCTGCACAAACAACAACACCTGTTTCTGCTCCAACAGACAAAAGCCTTGATCACATCCCTTGTATTCATTGTGGTCGCAACAACCATGAAGCATCCTGCTGCTGGCAGACGTTTGGCTATCCTGGACGCGGGAATGGAAGAGGACGAGGCCGTGGCAGGTTTGGCAGTGAAAGAAACAACTCATTTGGTCACGGGTACTACGAGCGCAACACGCTCAAGGAGGTTTTCGTTCTAAGCCTGCTGGAGTTAATGCTGCTCAAGTGAAGGAAACCACTGCCCATGCCAACGCCTTTTCAACCTTAACACCTGAGGTTGTGACACAATTGCTATCCTTTGTTGATAAGTCTCAACCGTCCACAACAAAATTAAATGGTAAACACGTTCTATGCACTTGGCTTATAGACAGTGGCGCCTCGCGCCATATGACAGGCTCTCTTCATTTTCTTGATAATATTGTTGATATTGCACCACTGCCAGTGGGATTACCAAATGGAGTTGTGACTTATGCTGTTAAACAAGGATCACTTATGCTTAATAACTCCTTTTCCTTGTCTGATGTGTTATTTGTACCACAACTCACGTGCAATTTGCTTTCTGTATCTCAACTGGTGCGACAGCTTGGCATAAATGTAATGTTCACTAATAATAGTTGCATCTTGCAGGACCGAACGCTGAGGATGGAGATTGGATTGGGTGATCACAAAGATGGCGTGTATGTGTTTCGGCCTACTCAAGTCACTGCTTTGGCTGCTAAGTCTTCTGATACGGGGGAACTCTGGCATCATCGGTTGGGCCATGCATCGCACGAAATAATTTCTATGCTTCCTTTTTCTGGGAATTTTCGTTTTGCTAATAATTCAGCATGTGATGTTTGTTTCCGTGCTAAACAGACTCGGTCAATTTTTCCTGTTAGTGATCAAAAAAGCAATAATATTTTTGAGCTTATTCATTGTGATACATGGGGTCCATATCTTACTCCTTCTACTTCTGGTGCTTATTATATTCTAACTATCGTTGATGACTTCAGCCGTGCAATATGGGTATGTTTAATGGCAAACAATGGTGCAACTTTCGATTTTATGCGAAAATTTATTCTCATGGTACATAATCAATATGGTGCATCAGTTAAAATTGTACGTACGGATAATGGCACAGAATTTAAATCCCATAAGATGAATGAATTATTTGTTGCTCACGGTATACTTCATCAGACGTCCTGCGTACATACACTGCAACAAAATGGCCGTGTTGAAAGGAAACATCGACATATTTTAAATGTCTCACGTTCTCTCTTTTTGCAGGTATTTGATTCTTTATGTTATGCTGTACTACATCCAAAACCAACAAATAAGTTCATTCCGCGTTCCAGACGATGTATATTTGTGGGTTATCCTTCAGGACAGAAAAGGTGGGGAGTATTTGATCTCGATACTGAGGATTTCTTTGTATCTCGTGATGTAAGTTTTCATGAAACTATCTTTCCATTTGCTGTAAATGCACCTTCTCCTACTGTTCCATCTTTACCTGCGTGCCTTCCAACATATGATGAAGACCCCTCAGTCATTTATGCACCTGATACTTCAGCTCGCAATTCAGAGCGCATAACTGATTGTTCAGTTCCTAGTGATATACAACATGAAATGCTGCTGGTTGACTAGGGGAGCATCTCCGAAATTGCACCATCTCACTCTTTGCAGCATCAAACAGAGAACCAGCATGCACCGTCCGAAAATGCACTGGCACCGTCCGCGAATGCACCGCATCACTCCTTGCAGCAGCACACAGCGAACCAGCATGCACCATCTCATTCTTTGCAGCATCAAACAACGCATCAGCCCCTCCTAGATGCTACTATAGCACCGTCTACTTTTTCACTGGAACAAACAGCTCTTCATGCTAATATAATGTCTCGCCCTTCAAGAGAAAGAAAGCCTCCTGCATATTTAAGTGACTTCCAATGCAATTCGGCCGACACACATACACATCATCCTAGCATAATCTCTTCTACCTCCTCTTCAGGTAAACGGTATCCTATTGCTAACTATGTGAATATTAATAAATTTACTCCAAAGCATAGAGCTTTTGTTGCAGCCTTAGATGCAGGAAATGAGCCACGTTCCTTCAAAGAAGCTATGACACATTCTGAATGGCATGATGCGATGGCTAAAGAAATAAGTGCGCTAGAAGCTAATCAGACATGGATGATTACCGATTTACCAGACGGCAAGCATGCTCTTCCTTGCAAGTGGGTCTACAAGATTAAGTATCATTCGAACGGTACCATTGAAAGATATAAAGCAAGGTTAGTTATTGCTGGAAATCATCAAATACCAGGATAAGACTTTCATGAGACCTACGCCCCTGTGGCAAAAATGGTGAATGTTAGGACTCTCTTCTCAGTTGCCGCACCAAAGGGTGGTATTTACATCAGATGGATGTCATAATGCATTCCTGAATGGTGAACTTCATGAGGAAGTTTATATGCATATTCAAGCTGGTTTTGAACGTGGTCAAGGCAGAAAAGTGTGCCGTTTACAAAATTCCTTGTATAGTTTGCGTCAGTCACCTAGAAACTCGTTTGAAAAGCTGAGTAAGTCTCTTCATGCTTACGGTTTTGTTCAATCCCAAGCAGATCATACCCTCTTCACATTTCAACAAGGTACCGTGTTTTTGGCTCTATTAATATATGTTGATGATCTAGTGTTGGCAGGCAATGATTTGAAGGCTTGTGAGGATGTAAAAATTTATCTTAAAAAATGTTTTAAAATTAAAGACCTTGGTGTTTTGAAATATTTTTTGGGTATAGAAATTGCTCGTAGTCATGAAGGGATTTTCTTGTGTCAAAGAAAATATGCATTAGACATCCTCAGAGAAACAAGCTTTTTAGACTGTAAACCAGCAGAATTTCCGATTGAGCAAAATCATCGTCTGGGTTTAGATGATGGACCTGAATTTTCTGATCCGGGTAGATATCGTCGCATTATTAGTAAACTTGTGTATTTGACTATAACTCGTCCAGACTTGTGTTATGTGGTGCATACTCTTTCTCAATTTATGCACGCTCCAAAGGAATCTCACTATGAAGCTGCTGTTCGTGAATTGAGGTACATTAAATTGAATCATGGACAAGGCATACTTCTTTCTTCCAAAAGTGATCTCAAGATTCATGCATTTTGCGATTCTGATTGGGCTAGCTGTCCATTAACTCGCCGTTCACTCTCGGGGTTCTTTATAATGCTTGGTGATTCACCAATATCATGGAAAACTAAGAAGCAACTAACAGTTTCACGTTCCTCTACCGAGGCCTAGTATCAGTCTATGGCTGGCGCAACCGCAGAGTTGGTTTGGTTAAAATCTTTTCTTGCCTCTCTTACTATTAATCATGACAAACCAATGGAGTTATGTTGTGACAATCAAGCAGCCATGCACATTGCAGCCAACCCGGTTTTCCATGAGCGTACCAAGCATATTGAAATCGACTGCCACTTTGTACAGGAACGTTTGTTAGCCAAAACTATTCGAACTACATATGTTCGATCTCATTTGCAACGTGCAAACATCTTTACAAAGGCACTAGGGCGCGCCTCCTTCATGACTTTCCTTCCCAAGTTGGGCATTTCAAGTCTTCATGCACCAACTTGAGGGGGAGTATTGGAACTAGAAGATTCTGAAGATCATTTGTTATTCTTTGTATCTAGGCAGTTTGTTCAGATTGTTATCTTTGTATATCTTTCCTATTCCTACGTTCTTAGCTTACTGTTATCCTTAGCTTTCGTTGCTGTTATACGTTAGCTATCTTTGCTGTTTTACGTAGGTTCTCTTAGGCTGTTTTTCGGTTACTAGAGTTTAGGACTTATTGAGTCTATTTAATGACTTGTAACTTGTACATTCAATACACAATGAAATGCATTCTCTCATTACTATTTGTTAAGATACTTTTGTTTCGTTTCTTCTTCTTCTTTTGTTCCAACATATACAAGCTATTAAATCATATGTTAAGGTTTGGATGATTTTCTTATTTTGACTATAAGTTTGAGGATTATAGACTTAACTTATGTCTGTCTGGTGCTATGTTCCTATAATAACTATATTATGAAAATGTCAACATCTAGAATTTCCAAGTGCTAGATGATCGTTCATTTATCTAAAATTTTCATACTCTATATATATATTGGTTAATATTACATTAACCATGACACACGGTGGAGCAGAGAGGAAAGTGTCTGTTGGGCTAGGTTCTTGTGAGAGGAAGAAGATTGTGAAGAACCAATTCAACCCAGAAGCTTAAGCTGTTGGGTGAGACTTTATATATCTCTCCTACGCTCCCTTACAAGAAAATGAGAGGCGGCGAGGATCGAACCCGGGACAATCAAACTCTGGTACAAACCAATTCAACCCAAAAGCTTAAGCTGTTGGGTGAGAACACATTGAAGGTTTTATATATCTCTAACAAAGATAATAACTTAGAGGATTTGCAAGAGAGCTGGGAGAGTATGGACAAAAGTCCTTCCTCCATGCATATTTAGAATATTTCGAAGGATATCATGCATTTGGTGTCACAATTGTTAATGTCATTGGGCCCCACATCGTGTGAATGTTGCGTATCATATCATTATCATGAGATGAGGATACCCTGTGTGAGGGAGGAAGGGGAACTAGCCCAAGTTGGGCACCTATCCACGTCAAAAGTATATTGAATATTGATACAATTTTTTTTCCCACTTCCATAACAAACTGAACCTTAGAGTCATGATTCTCGAATTGAATTAAAAGTAATGTCATCAGAATAATTACTTTCTGTGTTTAAAAGAAAAAATAACAAGTTGATAGTAGCTCAACAATTAGACTAAGAAAGCATTTGAACACAATCAAGATTCTCGAACTCATAGATCCTACCTAACATTTGACAACAAAGTTTGACACGTAAAACTTGAAATTGTAACACAGGAACGAAAAATCTTACCTTTAATATAAAATTATATTAAAATTGTATATATACTTATAAAAATAACACAAAAAAATACAAAAAAAAATATAGACAAAATATTAAATTGGGCCAAGGACGGTGGCCCATTGTCACGAAAAAAAATTATTATTATTTTGATTTGCCAAAAGTGTCGCCATCCATTTGGATGAAACTAATTCTCTTCGGAGTTTAGAATATAAAGGGTTTGAGGTTAAAAAAAAACTAAATTTAAACTATGCATCTTAAGTAAAGTTTGTGGCCCATTCTCCCATCCTATCCCCAGCTGACACGCGTACGCCACAGATGCAAGAGACCAAGGGGATCACGGCACATCTTAAGTAAAGTTTGTGGCCCATTCTCCCATCCTATCCCCAGCTGACACGCGTACGCCACAGATGCAAGAGACCAAGGGGATCACGGCACATACAGCAACGCAGTGCCAGTCACAGACACAGCAATATCAATGTCAAACCCATAGGATGATGTTATTTTGACAACCATTTGAAAAATACAATAAAATAATATATCAGTAACTTCAACATCAGTAGCAAATAGCAAATCATAGATTTGCTCAACACACGCATAGGGAAGTAGATACATATGTGATATTCTATGGTATAAAAAGGTTTTGTTAGCTCTTTACCAGGCACATCAATGGCTGCAGAATGATACTTGCGGAACTCCTCTCTACCCTTGGCTGTTCTGATTCCAATAGCACAACCAAAAACGGAACCACGCGGGTAGCCACCCACAAATGCTTCTGGAAACACTACCAGCTGTGATCCATAGCTAGCCGCTTCAGCCAGCAATCTCTCTGCCTTATCTGCACACAAAAATCATCACAAATCAGGAATCAATTCAAACACCAAGAACCCAACGTTCTCATCATTTCATTTCACTTAGTAAACAACATCCTAGCTCAACTCAAACCCAAAGACGATCACCCCGTAAACCAATAAAAAGAACTCAACAAAATAAGCTTAATTTGAAGCAAAAAGATCTTCGTTTGGACCCATGTGAAGCACCCCAAATGGTATTTCGGACACCAAAATACAAAAAGACAGTAAATTTAACACCAAAAAGGAATAGGTAACAAATTAGAAGACATGGGTAGAAAATATTTTGAGAAAAAAAAAAAACAATTATTGGAAGAAACAGAGTAAAAGACTGAAAGAGCAACTAAAAGTTTGATTGGAACAGAGAAACACTTGATTGAAGTGGGAAAGGACCTAAAGTGGCGGGGGTGTCGTAGAAGATGGTGGAGGCTTGAACAACGGTGGCTCGGACCGTGGGCGCGGTGAAATCGGAACCCATGTTCACCTCGGCGAACAGTGGCCCATCGTTTATGGTCGGAGTGGTTGTTGTTACAAGTGCCATGTCTTCCAGAATTTCCCTGTCTTTTCTGTTGCAGTCTTAAAACTCAGAATGAGATCCACCTTTCATTTGCATATTTATATGAAAAAGTATTTAAATAAAGGAAAAAACGTTTGTTATTTTTTCTTTTTTGGTACATAACGAGTTGTTATTTTAAATGACATAATTTTATGTTATTTTTTAATAAAATTAAATTGTTTGAGTGTGTTTTGTTAATTTTTCTTTTTTATAAAATTAAGAAAAAAAGAAAGTGGAGAAAAGAGAATGTAAAAATACACAAAAATAACTTAATTTCATTTAAAATGATATAACTTTGTGTTATTTAAAATGACAAACACTTCTTCCATAAATAAATGATTTTTTTAATTTTATCATTTAAGAACCTATAAAAAAGTTTAGAAATTGATTTGATTTATGGATGGAATATTTAACTTAAGAAAAATATAGAATGGAAATTTATTTCATTGTTTATAAAGAAATAAAATTAGAAATAAAATGATTTTAGATTTTTTCTTATTTTATTTTGCTACATAAATCTTTTGCACGTGTATATATAAAAATTCACTTAAATATAAATAAATTTAGCAAAGTTTTAATTTTATTAAATTGAATGAAATTAATTTCGTTTTGCTAATCAACACATGCAAGTGATATTTGTAGGAGATACAGACCAAAACGAAAAGGACGTTCATGAACCCGTCAACTTTCTTTGGTGGGAAAAATTTGTATATACCAGTGTTCAAAAATTCGGTCTGGCCAGATCAACCTGAAAATTGGTAAATTAGTATATAGTTGATTTGGGTAAAACAGTGGATTGGTCAAGCATTAGAACCAATGCGAATCGGTGAAACCAGGCCGATTTTGAAAAAAATCGGTAACCTGTTTAATTCAACCATTGATATGGCTGGTTTATACATATTTGATAAAAAAAATCAATAAAAAGTTTATAAATTTAATAAGACTATTTCTGACATTTTTTTTTTAAATTTAAGAAGCTTATAAAATAAGATGAAATTATAATTAACAGGATAAATTAATGAATCGTCAAGATTTCATCTGAATTTCATTTGTGATAAATGATGTTAAATATTTACAGAGTATTATGTATTTATTTATTTGTTGGACAATGTTGTGCAATTTATTATTTTTCATATTAGAATATTTGAAACTGATATCATTTTTACATATATTTATAGATTTTTTAGTATAAATGATAAATTTGCATATACTTATTAAGCGGTTGAATCAGATATCCAATAATCTAATATCTCGACCAGTCGAGTTTATTAACATTGTTATATATTAACATAAAATTTAATATGTTCAAATTATTTTATCTTTTGAAAGGTATTTATACGGTTTTGGGAAAACTCGTGAGCCAGAATACTAAGGTTCTGTTCTTAATCAATTGACTTGGAATTATCACTTTCTCTAATTAGATGGAACAAATTATAAAATGTGAACTAGTTTTGAGTAATTACTCTAAATAAAATTAGGGCTTGCAAATGTAAGTTTTCCTACAGGGAGAGAAAATGGTGGAGCTCATCTTAAAGAAAAAATAAAAAATAAAAAAGTAATTGGCACGGACATCGAAGTGAGAGTGGTAAGAGAAGAGATTTCTCATGCAACATGAGAAATCTTTTTCCCATAAAACTATTATAGTGAAAGGGAAACGCATGCAGGAAAAGATTAGAATAGGTAAAGGTGTAAATAAACAAGGCGAGCGCCACGATTTGGAAAACATTCATCCACTTATTGAATTAGATGACCAAGTAAGCTCATCTAAATTGTTTTCAAGATACATAAGGCTAAAATTGTGGACAGGTCCATAACGTGAGGTTCAGAAGTTGCTGATAATGAAGGGAAGAAACTACTTAGTCTTCTCTTCAACTTCTTTTGATGTTGATGTAATAGTAACTGGTTTTGTTGGTGTTGTATAAATGAGTTATGAATAAGAAGTTGAAAGAGTCGTGTCTTTTCGTTTCGAAGCTTTTTCGCTTGTGAATAGTCGCGTCTTTTCGTTTGTTAATAGTCGCGTCTCTTCACTTGTGAATAGTCGCGTCTCCTCGCTTGCGAGGAGTCGTGTCTCTTCACTTGCGAACAGTCACGCGCCTGTTCATTTCTGAATAGTCATGTCTTTTCATCTTATGATCATTCATCTCTATAAATACGAGTGATTTGTAAATAATAAGAGAAGATTTTCTGACTCCTTATAAAAAAAGGTTTGATATTTGTCATTTTAAATGACATAAAGTTATGTCATATTTTAGGAGAGAGATAGACACAAAGAATGAAAATCATGGGAGAGAAAATGGTTAATTTTTTTTTAATTTTTAATTTCAAATAAAAAATTATTATGTGTCTATCTCTTTCTTAAAATAACATAATTTTATATCATTTAAAATGGCATAATTTTATATTATTTAAAATAACAAATTTTTTTCAAAAAAAAATCATCGTGAATCTGTGTTTCGATTTTCAATCAACATCCATTTTTTGCTTTTGAAAAAATTTGAAACACGGTTATCTCCATTCTCCCGTTAGTTGAACAGTAATATATTTGTATTGATATGCTTCTGTACGTTTCTGCCTTTCCATGAAGTGAAAGGGAAATCACGTAAGAGCATGATTTTTTCCTACACAAATTTATTTTTCGTACTAACTAATTTTCTTTTTCTTTTATAATATAAAATGTGGGGCCCATATTTAATTTGTCTCTACTTTTTTTATCTCATGCAATCCTACAACATAAGAAAATATTAACCCATTGTGAAATTGCATAACATTGTATGCTTCTCGATAATCGTGTTTTCCCTATGCATTTGAATACCACTCGTAATTACGGTTTTTCATATTGATTTTAAAACACATTATCACTTTTCGGTAAGCCTGCGTCGATATTGGCTTTCAATACATACCAAAGCTGTGCCTGTGGTTTCGTTCTCAATCCTATATATATAAATAGGAAATAATGTTAGTTATTTTAAATGACACAATTTATCTCATTTCATTCTCACAAAGAGCTGAGACCCACATCTCCTTCTTTTGTTTTTACTTTTTCCCCCTCCTTTATCTATCTCTTTCTCTCACTTAAAATAAAATAACTTTACATCCTTTAAAATGATACACACTTTTTCTATATAAATATCGGCTTTTTTACCCTTATAACCTTTAATTAATAATTAATTACCAATTTGACCTTCATTTGAAACTAATTCGAAAATTTAACCCCTTCAGAAAACATAACACCAATCTGCTCCTGTTTGACCGTTAACCATGAAGCCTACCCGGGTACACTCCTCCCTACCCTGGTATTTTTTGAAATTTTTACCTACCCGGGTAGAGAGGGGTGTACCCGGGTAGAGTTCTTGAATCTGAAAAAATGGTTGAATTAGTTACCCGGGTAGGAAGGGTTGTACCCGGATAAACATCAAGAGTAGGATTTTTATATAACCGAGATGCTAAAAAGTTTCTTTTTCCAATTCATATTCTCCTCGGATTTATATTTCTATCAGGTTAATGAAAACGCAAAAAATTGAAGCACCTTCTGATTATAGAAAACAAAATGAAATTAGTAAAAAATTAATACAACATTACCATGTAATTGTATCCCCTAGTTTCTCTAATCTTCCTCAACTCTTCATCGTTCTCATAATCATTTGGATTCAGCTTCCAGTATAAGAGTCCCAATTCTGCAAAACTCACCATTTTTCTGCAACGTCACAACTAAGTAAAACTATAGATAGATAGATAGAGAGAGAGAGTAATGACCCGCTAATTGGTTGATGGAAACAAATTCATTAGGGCTGCCATGGTGAGGAAACCTTGGATCTTCGTTGCTATCGTCCATGAACCATGCCTGTCACAGTTTTTTTCATTTATATAAAAACGCTACTCTGGATGTTTACCCGGGTACAACCCTTCTTACCCGGGTAACTAATTCAACCATTTTTCCAGATTCAAGAACTCTACCCGGGTACACCCCTCTCTACCCGGGTAGATAAAAAATTTCAAAAAATATCAGGGTAGGGAGGGGTGTACCCGGGTAGGCTTCATGGTCAACGGTCAAACAGGGGCAGATTGGTGTTATGTTTTCTGAAGGGGTTAAATTTTCGAATTAGTTTCAAATGAAGGTCAAATTGGTAATTAATTATTAATTAAAGGTTATAAGGGTCAAAAAGCCATAAATATCATTGTCATATCGAGAATCGTGTTTTCATATTGTAAAAGGGTCTGAATTGTTACGTTTCCTATATCTTTGATTCTTGATGAGCATTGGAATCTCGTTTTTCGTGTTTGAAATTTTCTTCATTTCTTTTATTGTGTGGGATTGACTATTGTCTTTAATATATTAGGGGACATTTGATACAAATGAAATTTTCTTTATCAAGAAAATGTGATTATTAGGGATATGTAGAAAAAGTGATTTAGATAGAAGAATTTAAAAAAATTATTTGGTTAGGCAAAATATTATTGAAAAAATTGAGTGAAATTTCTGAATCTATATTTGGTTGAAGATAAAATATTGATGGAAAACCAGGCTGAAATTACAAAATAACCCTAATGAGAACTAATGTTGAAGTCATCAAAGGGTACATCTCTCATGTTCACCTTTTTCACTTAACTAGCTATTACTCAAATACCACTCTCCAAGTAGGATTTGATCACCATATTTTTGGTCCAATTTTGCTTACAAAGTTCAATTACTAGGCAAATCGGTTAGTTAGACAAATTTTTAAATAACCTCTACCAAACATGGATATACTACTTACCCACTTTCAAATGCCTAGCAATATTTTAAGATGACATGTACCAAACACACCCTTAAGAGAAAAACAATATCCTACACTCACAAATGAGAGAGAATAAGGAAGAGAAAAAAAAATTAAAGTGGGTCTCACATTCAATTTGTATCTGGTGCATAAATAATAATTTCATATAACATGAATTTATTATTTCTCTTTATATATATATATATATATATATATATATATATATATATATATATATATATATAGGGACAAGATCTTTTGACATCGGTGTCGAATTTAA